AAAAAATTGATTTTGAAAAGTAAAAGTTGGTAACGTTTTGGTAAAATGTGTGCTTTTTGTGTAATAGAAAAAATAAAAAGTAGATTGTAATTTTTAGCTTTTAAGTGTTTAGGTTAACGATAAGTTGTCAATTGAAAGAATTCTTTTGTTTTTTTAAACCAAAATCTGATAAAGGCTTTTTAAGAGTTTGCAAACACGCCCAATTTTCCAATGCTTCAGTTGCAATTTTAATCATCTAAAATATCGATAAGAGGACAATATTTGTGAATTAGTTCATACTCCCTCCGTCCCTTTTTATTTAGCCAAACACTATTTTTCATTTCCAAGTCAATGATTTAAACATTGACTGATTACATATTCATACACGGTAATATTGATAATATGAAAAATGCTCTTTGTTATCATCATACACGATGTATAAATTTATTAAATTTCACATTAATATATTATTTCAAATAATGGATCAACGTTTATCATTTTTTACTGGAAAAATCAAAGTTGATTAAATAAAAAGGGACGAAGGTAGTATGATATTCATTTGGCACTAACTTGGATTGAATCAAAACCCAAAACCGTGAAAAACTAAATAAAATAGGAGGAAGATTAAAATGAAAAACTAGTACTCCCTTCGTTCCTAAATAAACTTCCAACTTTCCTTTTTCGTCCGTTCCAATTAAAACTTTCATTTTCCCTTTTTAGTAAAGAATTTGTGGTTCACAACATTTCTTACACATTTCTCTCTCCTCTGCACAACTCTCCACCACACAATACACACTATCTTAAACTCTATGACAAACCTATTTGGAAGTTTTAATAGGAACGGAGGTAGTACATGTTTAAGAAATTAAAACTCAAGCTGAATTAAATGATCAGATTAAATCAAACCCAAACTTGACATGACAATTCACCCAAAATGTTTCGAAGTGAATTGAATCTGAACTCGATAAAAACCCAATCAAAATCTAAATACGAAAATCTTATCTAGTCTAGTTAAATGAGTTACCAGCCAATTGTTGAAGAAAGAGGAGGGAAGGGTGCCGTTCCGGATGGTGTGGATGAAAGGGTGCCTCGCAGCAGCCATGAATAACAATTTATGTTTCCGCATCCAACTTACTGTCATTCTTATTTTGGTCTCGCCCATCGGATTCATCAACACTTTTCTTAATGTTTTTTACTCTGCTAAATATACGATTTAATCTACTTTCTCCTCCAAAATATATACTCTAGGATTTTGCCATCTTTCTTTTTTTGGTTGTCCCAAAAAACTTTGTCATTTTCCCATTAAAGTAATTATTTTGTGATTCTACTCATTTCTCGCTCCTCCGCACAAACTTCAACCACACAATTTTTACTATTCTTATTTCTCACCTAATTTAAGAAGTGCAAAGTTCATTCGGACGGGTAATATATTACTCCACTTCGTATCATTTAATTCAATCATCTGATACATATGAACTATATATGTACGCTATTTCTCACCTTACTTAAGAAGTGCAAAGTCTGGGATAATATATTACTCACTTCGTATCATTTAATTCAATCTTCTGATACATATGAACTATATATGTACGCTAGAACCATCCTAGCAATTAGGTGGCGTTTGTTTTTGAACAATAGGCATTGTATATTAACGTGTCGCCAAATCCAAGCTCCACAGCATCTGCTCGCATATAATTTGTTGGACAGAGTTTTTTTTTGAAAGAAAGTCACTTATACCAATATTAAATAATCAGAACTCACAAGTTACACCAAAAAAAGTGGTTTGCTGATCGTTTACTGTCGTACCAGATTTTGAGATTGTCACCTCCATAGAAATGATAAGACTCGATGATCCTATGATGGACTTGTCTGAGTCATTGACGGACAATTCAGACTCCTTATCACCTGACTTAAATTCTAAAGTTTTGCTATTAGTAGCCAAAAACATGACCAAAACAACATCCGGTTCAAAATAAAAGCAAGAAATTAAAGCAGAATAAATTTCAACCCAACCACACGACTAACCTGATTTCAAAAGTCTGGGCGGGTCAGGAATCCGGCACCCGCCATTGGACAGTATAGAAGTTATCACCGATTTTGGAAAATTGGATCGTTACACTGTCAGCACGTATACCCATCCCACTACCAGCGGCGGATACAAAGAAGGGAAATGGTGACCGCCCTTCCAATTTTTTTTCTACTAGATATACTTAGATATACTTAGGGGTGTATTGTATTAGGAATTAGTGTCAAAATTTTAAAAATTCATTGATTTTAAAAGTTTAGGTTTATTCAATGTGGATTTTTAAAAGTCTACAAAAGTCTATGTGTATTCAATGTAGACTTTTAATAGTCTATAAAAGTTTAGGCATATTCAAAGTTCCGTTCATTCTTATGGATTTCTAAAATTATTGATTCTCGTGGACTTTTAACTCATTTTTAGTACATTAATTCTCTTCGATTGTCTCTTCTCCTCACTAAAGATTTACGTGGACTTTTCTTATATCGGTTCTTCATCCCGTCCCCCACCCCACCCCGCCAACTCTCCTCTTCTTTAGCCAAGTCACCCCTTCCCTTTCGATCATTCTTCTTCAGCCTAGCTCGCTCCACCCCTCTCCTTCCATTCTTTTTCTTCTTCAGCTTGCCCCACCCCCCTCGATTCGTTAATCCCATATTGGTTCAATTTTAGAAATTTCTAGAAGAACTGATATAAGAATCGATAATATTACATTAGTGCAATTCTGGTACGTCGTCACTTAACCATTAAAATAAATAAATATTTTAACTATTACTTTCTTTCATCGTTAAATCGCTAACACATAAAAATATAATTTCAAATTAATAAATATATAACCGTAAATAAGTACACAAAATTTTACAAGATAGAAATGAAAAGAAAACAATTATTAAGAAGATAAACTCGATTGCAAGTGTGCTTGCACCACATGTAGCAATGAGTGTAACGATTAATGTTCTTACACATTAATAAAATGACCAAAATTCTTGAGCATTCTTGAAACTTTGAGTTTTTTTAATAAAAATAAATTTGGATTCTTATGCTTCATTTATTCTTGTAGAACTTTGTTTTGCTATATGAATTACATGTGTTTCATTTATTTATGTATTTATTTATTTATTTATTTATTTGTCTATTTGTTTCTTATCATACTCTGTATTATACAGAGGAAATTATTCAAGGTAGGACTAAAACATACGGAGTAGCATTTTTCTTAAAGTATGATCATATGTTTGATTTTCCTTAAATAGGACTAAATATTACATATTCACCCCTAATTTAATTAATTAATATAAGTAATTGTCCATAATTCCCTTGCATAACCAAATCGACTTTGTTGGTGGCGGATCAGTCCGATGACGACAGCGGGGAGTTCAAGTGACGGAGACGGACGGGCAGATCGGTAGCGGTGGTGTAGGTGAAAATTTCGACAACCAGCAGTGGTGGTTCGCATTTAAAAGTCTATGGACTTTTTGAAAGTCAATAAACTTATCCATGGATTTAAAAGTCCATAGAATTCATTCATAAAAAGTCTATGAATTTAAAAGTCCATTGACTTTTTTAAAAGTCCACGGATTAAAAAAAATCCACCACAATCCATATTCAATACATCCCCCTTACTCTAAAATTTTAAAGGAAACTTTCCGAAATATGAGTAAAAATGTTTTAAAATTTCAAAATAGGACTATGGTGTTTTTATTTTCTAAATAAGAGTAATTGTTGTCAAGTTCGAAAACAACCGAGTATCATGTTTAAAGTCTGTCAAACATGACAGGAATTCCAATTGAGTTTGTTTATTTCAATTCCTGAATTTAAATTTGATAATATATGAAGTTACATTTTCGTATAAGCAATTTACATCTTCATGTGCATGAGATACATCTTCTTATGCGCAATTTAGGTTTTCTTATGTGCAATTCACATCTTCACGTGAACGGGTTGCATCTTCTTGTGCGCGATATACATCTTCATATGCGCAAGTTATATCTTTTTATGTGCAAGTTACATCATCTTATGTGCGAGTCACAGCTTCTTATGCGCGAGTTACATCATCTTATGCGTAAGTAACATGTGAACTTGCCTAAAGAAGTTAATTTTTATATACAAAGTTACATTTTTCATCAATGCGAGTTACATTTGTTATAACACGAGTTACATCACAAAATAAAATTCCACTATTCAAACACAAAAATGATTTTTCTAAATCACATTTATGTCTCTTATATTAAAAACAAAAATGTTCACTATTTATGTAAAGTAATTGAGCAATTAGACTTTTTTTATTATTTACATTGACATTAATGTTTTATTTCTTATACTTCGTATTGGACAAGTTACATTTTGACTGACCCACAATTATATTTATCATAAACATGAATTACATTTCTTTACATGCGAGTTACATCACCCTACTGTTGAAACAAAAAAGTGTTTGTTCACGCATGTAACTGTTAACGTGTGTTTTGGCTGTGGGAGTGATGCTCACCATGGGCTGCTCCTACGGTATAATAACTGTCGAAATTGCAACTCTTTGGGAAATTGATCGAGTTGAAACATTCTCTATTTCAAAATAGGACTGTCATGTTTTGTCAGTACCGAACTTTAAAGATGACAATTGTTTCCAAATTTGACAGTAATTACTCTTATTTAGGAAATAAAAATATGAAAATCATATTTTTGTATTTTCAAATGTTTTAACTCCTATTTTGGGAATTCCCTGATTTTCCCTTATATTTCATTCTTTGCACCCACCGTAATGAGGAGGTGATTTTTTCTATACATCTTAATTTATGTTGATGACTTACTAATTACTAGTTACTAGAAATAATACTAGAAATAATCATGCAAAAATATACTACCCATGATTTTTAACTATTTATAAACAACTAATTTAATTTTTAGTACAGAAATGTGTTGAGCGCCTCAAATACTTTGATAATTATAAAATACACATAAATCAAATTTTAATAATTATAAAATACACATAAATCAGATATAGGGTCAAGTAAACCAATTCAAGTAAACTAAAAAATGTATTGTGCCAATATTATAAATTAGGTATTGTATGTTTTCAATTTTCCTCATCGTCCTACATAATATTTGGCCACGTTTATTTTTTAAGTCAAATGAGGGGTAAAGTACATTGTGGGGTAAATTACATTGTGCATAGAGCTTCTGCAAATGCAATGAGAGATTGTTATGCTAAAAACTGCATAGAGGTTTTGCAAGTGCAATGAGAAGTTGTTATGCTAAAAACTGCATAGAGGCTCTACAAGTACGGTGCACAGAACCTCACTCTCTATCTTTCAAATTGAGATTATAGTCCAATGTACCGTCCGATCGGGATTGTGGGACCCTTAGAGATGGAGTGTCATCATTTTTTACATTGTGCCATATTTGGTGATTTGACACCAATTTCGTGGGTGGCTATTAACTCTTCCCACTATATTGAATAGCTGTAGCAGCAGCCACCAACTTAGCTTAGCAACTCATTAATGGTTCATTGACATCATTTCTGCACTAATGCTCTATACCATATTCATATATACTCCTTCTCCATCGCCCTTTTACTTCCATTGCTAAGGCATAGTGATGGATTCACTCTCATTAGTGTCTTCACTGATTTCTCCTTACTATAATCTCTTCTTCACATGCTTGCCTTTCTTGGTTTCCGGGTTGATCTTACTGCTTTCAAGAAAATCCAAGTTCAAAAACAGCAAGCGGCCCAATTTGCCTCCCGGACCGCCGGGTTGGCCGGTGGTCGGAAACCTCTTTCAGGTAGCTCGATCTGGGAAGACATTTCTGCAATACGTGAGAGATCTGAAGCCCAAATACGGCCCCATTTTCACTCTCAGAATGGGAACTCGAACCATGGTTATAATCACCAGTGCCGATTTGGCCCACGAAGCTCTCATCCAGAAAGGCCAGATTTTCGCCAACCGGCCCACTGAAACCCCGACCCGGTCCATTTTCAGCAGCAACAAGTTCTCCGTCAACGCCTCCGTCTACGGCCCGGTCTGGCGCTCCCTCCGGAAGAACATGGTCCAGAACATGCTTAGCTCGGCCCGGTTTAAGGAGTTCCGGGACGCCAGAGTGGCCGCCATGGATAGGCTGATAGACAGGATCGGATCCGAGGCTGAATCCAACGGAGGGGCTGTTTGGGTGCTGGCTAATGCCCGTTTCGCCGTTTTCTGCATTTTGCTCGCCATGTGTTTCGGTATAGAAATGGACGAGAGCACGATTGATGAAATTGACCGGACGATGAAGGCCGTCCTGATCGTTCTGGCTCCGAGGGTCGACGATTTCCTCCCGATCTTAAGCCCATTTTTCTCGAAGCAGAGGAAAAGGGTTTTGGAAGTGAGAAAGCATCAATTGGATACAATCGTTCCGTTGATCGAGAAGCGCCGCCTGGCGCTGGAAAATCCCGATAAGACAGCGGCGACGTTTTCCTACTTGGACACCCTCTTTGATTTCCACGCCGATGGCAAAAAATCCGCGCCGACAAACGCGGAGCTCGTGACCCTCGTCTCCGAGTTCCTCAACGGCGGCACCGATACGACGGCGACGGCGGTGGAATGGGCTGTGGCGAGGCTGATTGAGAATCCATCATTACAATCCAAGCTGTACGAGGAAATCAAGAATCAGGTCGGGGATCGGAAGGTAGACGAGAAGGATATAGAGAAGATGCCGTACTTAAACGCCGTCGTAAAAGAGGTTTTACGAAAACACCCTCCAACCTTCTTCGCGCTGACCCATGCGGTCACCGAACCGACTCAACTGGGCGGGTACGATATACCCGTGGATTGCAACGTGGAGTTCTTCTTGCCCGCTATATCGGAGGATCCGAAAATATGGTCCGACCCGGAGAAGTTTGACCCGGATAGATTCGTCTCAGGCGAGGAGGATGCCGATATCACCGGGGTCACCGGAGTGAAGATGATGCCTTTCGGCGTTGGTCGGAGGATCTGTCCCGGGTTGGGTATGGCGACGGTGCACGTGAATTTGATGCTGGCCCGGATGGTTCAAGAATTCGAATGGTCCGTTTACCCGGAAAACACGAAGGTCGATCTAACTGATAAGTTTGAGTTCACGGTCGTTATGAAGAATCCTCTTAGAGCCCAAGTCAAACCTAGAGAGTGCAAGCCATGCTGATTAGAGTAATACGAAGTAATAATTTTTTAAAATTTTATCGTATATATAAATTCAAGATAAATAAAAACTAATTTCATCGTTTATATATTCATTTCTGAAAAACAATATAAAATTTTACTTATACATTTGTTTATCCATTAAAGTTATAGTACTCATTTCAAAGTTATCATTGGAGATAGTAGAAGAGTATCTGATTGGTGTATGTGGCATTTATGTTTCAATTAAAAAAAGGTGAGAACTCTATAACTACGATTCACTTGATTGGTCCAATTAGGTATATACGAAGTACTCTTTAATTTTTAATGTAGACTTAAATAATTCAAATGCAACATTCTGATTAGGCATGGCCTCGGTTCGGGCCGGGTCGGGCTTCGGGCCGATTCACCTGGCGGTTATCATGCCGGGCCGGTTCATCAAAATTAAGGCCCGGGAACTGGCCTTCTACAATGTCAGGCCGGTGGCCCGAACCGCTCAACGAACCGTGGATCGGGCCGGAACAGTGCCGGTTCGGGCCGATTCCGGTTCAGTTAAACCAGCCCGAATCTATCCCTAGTTCTGATTGGTCTATGTGGACAAAAGTATGCTACCTTACCATACGAATCTATCTTAAAAAAATTACGGAGTACTGAGTATATTTTTCACTTTTCGTTGGTTTATGGGTCATGCACTCATGTATTCATGATGTAGCTGCCCCTTTATTTTTCCACGTTCTTGTATCATGTACATATATATAGGGAGTCAAAGTTGATTTGTTTCCCAATAAAGTAAAAAATGTAGGATTTAGATTTGATCATATATTCATTATTTTAAACATAAATGATAGAGCTTTTGGAACGGCTAAAAGGGAAAATTACTAATGTTTTATGGGATAGAAGAATGTGTATTCTCTCCATCTCATACATAAGATAAATGTGAGTTTCACACGGGTTTTATGAAAATGAAGGATAAATAATTATTTTACAATTCCAACCTTCAAAAATAAAAAATAAAAGACAAGTCTACATAAAGTTAAAATATGAATTGATATACTCCCTTTGGTCCAAAATAAAGTTCACAATTTCTTTTTTGAGTAGATCCAAAATAAACTTCACACTTCTATTTTTATCAAGTTATTAATATAAAGTTGCAATTATATCCTTACTTTATTATCTACTTTACATTCATTTTCTATCTCGTGCGACACTTTATCTACTTTTTGTATGCATATGATGGGAAAGTCAAAAACAAAAATTTCACTTTCTTAAAACCATAAAGTGAAATTATGAAATTTATTTACGATCGGAAGGGGTATAAAGGGATAAATTTGAAAAGTAAAAAGTTACTAGAGTTATATTTAGAAAATATTCATATTTTTTAGACAACAAAAAAATTAACTTGCAAAATGGGACAGAGAGCTTTATTAGTTAATGTCTTATTTTATCATTTTTGTGTTCTCTAATTACTACTCACTCCTTCAATTCCCATAAAATTCTTCATGTTTTGACTTGAATCAAAGTTTAAGAAAATGAGAATGAAATTGAAATATACTCCCTCCATCCCGGAAAATTGTTCCCGGTTTTCTTTTTGGGCCGTCACAAAAAATTGTCCCACTTACTAAATAAGGAAAGTTTTAACTAATAAAAAACTTGTTTTGCCCCTCATTATAATTTACCCTCTCACTCCACCGATTGATCCTCTCTCTCTCTCTCTCTCTCTCTCTCTCTCTCTCTCTCTCTCTCTCTCTCTCTCGTTACCACTTCTCCTCCTTCATAGTTCATTCCCACCCACTTTTCTTCGAAGCCTCATTACTCCGGCAATACCACTTCCCCTCTCTCTTACACTATTCCGGTCATTTGTCCTCCCCTCCTTCCACTCTTCAGTTCGTTAAACTTTATTTCCTTCTCTGATTTCAAATCCAGCTTAACCCTAGCTTATCTGTTGATCTAATCGTCTGTCCTAATTTCAAATCCCTAAATCTGATTACCATGGAAGATCTACCAGCATGCAATGAATGCATGGTGGATCTTATGGTTCCGGCCAGTGAACAGGAGTCAAAATACTACCCTGGTCAAGGCATGGTGGACCTTGTGGTTCCGGACAGTGTTGTGGAGTCCTAGATCAAAGACGGTGAAGGTCCAAAGGAGCTTCTGGTTCCGGATAGTGAAGAGGAGGCAGAGGAGGAGGACGGTGAAGCTACGATGGAGCTTATGGTTCCGGACAGTGAAGAGCAGACAGAGGAGGAGGTCGGTGGAGGTGCGCTGGAGCTTGTGGTTCCGGACAGTGAAGAGCAGCAGGAGATGGCGAAGAAGGAGGCCTTTTCAGATCGTAATGCTGCAAAAATACGGAAGGAGGTGGAAATGTGGTACATTCGAAATCCTGGTCTAGAGGACCTCTTAAATCTGATCCTACCCGGCCGAGAATCAAGGATGTGGGATGTGGACACCTAACATGAGAGTTTGTTTCTTTATCTATTTTTTTATCTTTCACTCATTTCCATTGGTTCTATGTATGTTGGTACTGTTGTGGAAATGGTTGTCTGGTTTGTGTTTCATGATTTTAGGGTGTTCTTATCTACTGAAATGTCCTTGTTATGATGTGTATATGGTCTGAGCTTTGTTGGTTGGTACGTATCTATGCTTATATGACTGAAATTGATTGCTACTGATGTTTGTGTGACCAAATGGTCTGAGTAAGGGTTATGTGAGGCTGCTATGATGACCTTATTGGTCTGTGCATTGTTGGTTGGTATGAGGCTGCTATGATGATCATGGTTGGTGTGTATCTATTCTTATATGACTGAAATTGATTGCTACTGATGTTTGTGTGACCAAATGGTTTGAGTAAGGGTTATGTGAGGCTGCTATGATGACCTTATTGGTATGAGCATTGTTGGTTGGTATGAGGCTGCTATGATGACAAATTGGCTTAACATTGGTTGTTGGTATGAGGCTGCTATGATGATAATACTCTGTATTAATATGAGCATTGCTTTGTGTGAGGCTGCTATGATGACCTTATTGTCTAAGCATTCTTTGTATGAAGTTGGTATGAGTAATATACTCTCTTTTACTCTTTGTAGTTTTGTGTGAGGCTCTTATGATGAATAAGGGAGCCATAAGGCTTGAGAAAGGATTATGTTATGCTACAATGATATATTTTTTTAGTTGCTACAACATTATAGGCCTCTAAACAATCCAAATTATCTAGGCCTCCACAAAATTACAAAAATATAGGCCTATACAACATGACAAAAATGTAGGCCTGTACACGAGCACAAAAATATAGGCCTGTACAATATGACAAAAAAGGCCTATACCAAAATACAAAAAACATGCCTTCACACTGATGGATTGAGTTCATTACTGAAGATGACTTAGTCGTCATCATCTTCATGGGAGAACTAGCCATTAGTAGCCTCTACTAAGTTAGTAGTAGTACTGTTACCCTGTTGTTGGGATAAAACAGTTTTTGTGACTTCTAGTAACTCCACAGCAACCTCTGTGCTTATGGGCAGCCTTCCTTCTATGATAATTATGACATTTGTATTGTGTGGCAGCTTGTAGTTGTTTCCCTCCCTCCACTTTCATTATCTTTACCATCACATATTGATAGCTTAACCAAACCTTGTTGAGAGTGGTGGGTGAAAGCTGGTAGAATGCTTCATATCTACTCCCTTTAACAGTTCATCCACATTCTTAGGTGCTTTTGGTCTTTAGAGACTGAATTGCCCTAAAGAACCCAAGATCTAGTATGTTAAGATCAGGAGAATTAGGGGGTTGGTTAGTTAGGGTAATATTAAACCTATCTGCTTTTGAGGCAGCCATAAAGTCTGGGTCTGAATCTAGAATGTGTGACCTTGCGTTATCTTGTTGCATAACAATGTCCTTGCTTAACTGTTCAAGCCATTTTTCCTTGATGCTAGACAGCACAATGTTGATAAGCATGTCTTTAAAGACTGATTTTGTAATGCTAAGTACAGGTTTGGTTACCATTACCCCTGCATCCCTGTTCTTGCTTTTCCTTTTAGCTGCCACTTTCTCAATTAACGGGAAAATGCCTATTTTACCATCCCAAATTACTTCCCCGTTGTCTGTAAACAGAGGCCTCCCCACTGCTCCTAGTGACATGACCTTGGTTATGAATCTCTTAGACTTGCATACCCTATGTGGATCCAATTCTTCCTTCCCCATGTAATATCTTTGTGATGTTTTTGACAAGAAAAATAATTTCTCATCAATTTGTATCACATTGTGGAAATTTTAAAATACTGGCTTTGCTGGAATTGATTTGTCTATTTGTCTTGAACAGAACATCAATTTGAATTTTATTTGCATCACTTAGCAAAGGCTTAATAGCATTTGTATGACTTCTAAGCACACCTCTCTGAACCAATCTGTGAATACTTGACTTTGAAACTGAACTGGCCGAAACAAGTGCCCTTATGTTAGTCCTTTTGTGCAGTGGGATTTGTGAAATGTTGGTTACATCAAACAAAACTCTTTTTCTACCTGAATTTCCCATCCACTTGGTTTTTACACCTATTGCTTCCCCCTTTTGAATCTGCTCTTTAGCTTTGCTCCATATCTTGAAAATAGTTCTTCTGGTAACTGAATATTTTGTGGCTAGGTGACTTAGAACACCTTTCTGAGTAGTCACCTCCCCAGAATCTTTTCTTGTTGCACTAATTATAATTCCGTCAACTATACTATCTCGTTCTATGTTTTGTAGTCTTTTTGCTTTGATATTTGAGCTTTGGAGACTTGTTTGTGTGTGCAAGCCTTCATTTATTGCAGTTGGTGAGGAAGAATCATTGACTACACCTGAAGATAGGTCTTCATCAATGGAAGATGTAATGGGGGAAGAAGAAGTTTGGGCGCCACTACTGTTTGCGGCCATAAATGCTGCATGTAGTGTGTGATAGTGTGTAGTGAAGCTTAAGATTTGGAATGTATATTTATAGATAGGGTAAATGTAGAAAGTTTTCCAAAAAAGGGAGGGAACTTTTGGGGGGGAAGGGGTGGTCTACGTATGGTGTAGAAAAGGTTGAAATGTTTGTAGCTACTTTCACTTCAATGAACAGTGTAAAGCAACACTCTATGTAGCTGTAATTTTTTTTCCTGCGGCAACTCCCTTTAATTTTCCTTTTACTTTCATTTTAGATGCACTTGGAGAAAGACAAAGCATTTTTTAACTTTCCTAAAAAACCGTTCCAAGTCAATACGGGAAATTGTCACATATTCGGATTTACACGTAAAAAATGAGTGTTATTATGTTTACCATTCTAGAGTTGTGATTTTATAGATTTACATCATAAAGACTCTACAATCTGATTATGGATCCGAGTACTTCAGCAAGGAGTTTCTGGATTACTTAAAGAGTCAATGAATTCAGTCACACTGGACTCCACCATGATGAACTCAAGAACACCTCAATTGAACTCAATTGAATGGTGTCTTTGAAAGGAGAAATAGAAGCGCTAGCTGGTTGGACATAGTTAAAACCATGATGAATTCCAAATCTCTTTCAATATCTCTTTGGGGGCACACAATATAAATTTCGGTATATATTATAAATAGAGTTCCATCTAAGTTAGTGAAAAAGATACCATATGAGTTATAGTGTAATAAGAAGCATATTGTT